TGTTTGTATTAAAAAGAAAAACAATTTTATTTTATGTTTTTCTTTTTTTAGTTTAGATACTGCAAAAGGCGTACTTTATTATTTTGGAATTAAAAACGTAGCAGATCGTAGGTAAAGCGGAGTAGCGTAGTAAGTTTAAGATTTTCTTTGAAACCGTACTAAATCTACTACGATCGCTCATTCTGGTTGGCTGAAGCAGAAAGCTTTCTGATACAACTCTGCGCTGAACTGGTTTTCAATCGAGTTAAATGATTTAACTGGTTCAATTTTCCAACAACAATTGCATGCGAGTTAACTTGTTTATGAACATGTTTTGTTCATTTAACTGGTTCAAGCCCATTTAACATGTTTAACTCGTCAATTTGAACATAGTATTACACTACCCCCCTCTTAATGTCTTTATATATATGTATTACAAAATTAAATTTCAGTAGTAGTACTTCAGTTACAGATATTTTTTTAACAGTGCCGAAGTTATATTGAGTTTTATTTACTTAATTGACTACTCGACTTCTCAGTTTATATTTATTACCTTGCGTATCGTTTTCTTTTATTATTGTGGCGAATACTGCGGCAACGCGAAGCGAACAACGAGAAAAAGGCAGAATGTTCGCGGAATGACGTAGAATGTTCCACAAAGAGAAACGTCAAGTTGGATGAACACTGCGAACAGCGAGAGAAAGAGAATGAGCGAAGAACTTCAGAACATTCTAGAGTTCCCATGAGTGCGACCGCAGGTATATAAGAGCCACGACACAGCGGAGTTGGGGAGTTATAAGTCAGCAAGCTACAAGTAAAGTGAGTTGCAAATAAGCAAGCTTGTGTTAACTAGCTACACAAGTATTGTAAAGTGTTTGTTGTACAATAAAGTTAATTGTACTGTAATTTGGACGCGTAAGCATTTATTTAACAATCCAGAGTTACGAACCGAAGTATTTGGGAAATCCGGACGAGTAGTCAAGGGCTTTGTTTCTTTTCTTTTCTAGCAGATAATTATCAGGAAGAAGAAGAATGAGGAAATTGAAAGAATTACGCTCACAGAGAGCGAAATAACGAAAAAGTAAAGAAACGCAAAACTAGCAGAAACTAGCAAGTAATCAGCTGATCGGTGTATTTGACTATTGAAAGTATTTGGCGCGAATTTTTGTTTATCCATTTTGACAGCTGCTAGTTTCTGCTAGTAAAAATTTTACTAGCAGAAATTAGCAGGAGAGCCAAAAAAAGAAGAGCGTAAGATCGAGAGAGAGCTGCTAGTTTCTGCTAGTTTTTTGTGTTAAGAAACGGTTTCCAGCTGAAATTAGT